TCCTGCTCAAAGGCAGCTGGTCTGGAGACAGGGACTGTGACCAGAGAATGATAAACAGACAGCCCAGAGAGTGCATGGACCAAGCAGTGGGGACAAGGAAGAATGCAAAGGGAGCCCAGTGTTCCCAGGTGGAGCTGACCAGGAGGACTCCCAGAGCAGAACAAAGTCTGTGCTGTGAGCGCAGGCACAGGAAAAGTGAGGGCTTGGCCAAGGTGAAAGGCACCAGGGACCCAGGCGAGGGTTCCTCCAGCAGAGGGCTAGAGCCACCAGACTGTAGATGGACAGGAAGTGCAGGGATTGGGGGTGGGAGCAGGACAGATGGCTGGCAGAGGAGGAGTAGGGGTGGAGTAGGGGCACCTGTGAGGCTGGAAGTTGCAGAAAGAAGGAAGATGGGGAGAAGGCTTGGAAAAGTCATCTTTTAATGTGCATAGAACCGCCTAGCTCAGATCTGCCTTCCTCCTGCCAGCTTAGCAGCCACCAACCACCTGGCCCAAAAGCAAGTCCAGACACTGCCCTTGCAGGTGCGCAGCCAGAAGGGACCAAATGGAGGAAAACAGAAAAGGCCTCTGTAAAGTCAGAGGAAGAGGCCGAGATGTCAGACCACTGGCGGGCTGGGGGTGGAGATGGCCTCTGTGTGACACTGCAGGCTGGGATTTTGGAGCGGGCAGTTCAAGGCAGGGCCTGCAGAGGATGGCTTAGGATCTGATGCAGACCACGACAAGCCAGGGAAGGACCATCCACCCAGACATCCCAGTCCTCGCGGGATGGAGCAGGGAGCAGGGGGGCTGGAAGAGAAGGTGGTGAGGAGCCCTGTCCCATCCCCACCCCAGCAGAGTGACTGGTGGGAGCCTAGGGGAAGTAGGGAATAAAGCTGCAGGTGCACAACCCCAGCTGTGGGGCTGCAGGACCACAGGGACTTCCTGTTTCTTCTTTATACTTTCCCACTTTCCTACCAAGTTTTCTACAGTGAGCTTTTTTCTAGTAGCAGCAAAGAAAAAACACAAAAACTAGCAAACAACACATTTCTACCACCCAGAGATTGTAATTGTGAGCATGTTGCATTTGCTGTTACTTTTTAGCTCAGTCCCCTAGTGCTCCTGGTGCCGCCAGGACTGGACTGGGCCAGAGCTGGGAGGCGGGGACTCCATCCAGGCGTTCCCTGTGGGCAGGTCCCTACCCCATCCCCTTGCCAGAAGCCATCACTGCTGCCTCCCAGGGTCTATGTTACTTGAAAACCAGAATCAGGAATTGAACCAAAGGACTCAGATATGGGTTGCAAATGTCTTAACTGGCAAAAGACTTCAAATAAATAAATAAAAATAAATAAGAGTTATAGAGAGGAGAGGTAGAGAAAAAGATAGTTCATTCACTGGTTCGTTTTCTAAATGACTGCAGAAGTTGGGACTGAAGCGGGTCACAGAAGCCGGGACCTTCTTCTGAGTCTCACACATGGGTGAAGGGACCCAAGTGTTTGGGTCATCTTCAACTGCTTTCCCAAGTCATTAGCAGGGTGCTGCATTAAAAGTGGAACAGCTGGGCCCAGCACGGTAGCCTTGTGGCTAAAGTCCTTGCCTTGAACGCACCAGGATCCCATATAAGCGCTGGTTCTAATCCCGGCACCCACACTTCCCATCCAGCTCCCTGCTTGTGGCTTGGGAAAGTAGTCAAGGACGGCCGAAAGCCTTGGGACCCTGCACCTGTGTAGGAGACCCAGAAAAGTCTCCAGGCTCCTAGCTTCAGATTGGCTCAGCTCCAGCTGTTGTGGCCACTTGGAGAGTGAATCATCAGACAGAAGATCTTCCACTCTGTATCTCCTCCTCTCTGTATATCTGCATTTCCAATTAAAGTAAAAGAAATCTTAAAAAAAAAAAGTGGAACATCTAAGATTCCAACCGGTAGGCAGGAGGTTAAAGCATTAAGCCATAATGCTAGCCTCTCAATTGCTAGGCTAAACGTTCATCCCATATTTGTATTTTTTCTTGTTTTGTTTTGTTTTGTTTTTTTAAGGATTTATTTATTTTTTATTGCAAAGTCAGATATACAGAGAGGAGGAGAGACAGAGGAAGATCTTCTGTCCAATGATTAACTCCCCAAACAGCCACAATGGCTGGAGCTAAGCCAACCCAAAGCCAGGAGCCAGGAGCTCTTCCAGGTCTCCCATGCAGATGCAGGGTTCCAAAGCTTTGGGCTGTCCTCGCCTGCTTTCCCAGTCCACAGGCAGGGAGCTAGATAGGAAGAGGGGCCGCCAGGATTAAAACCAGCACCCATATGTGATCCTGGCGTGTTCAAGGCGAGGACTTAAACCACTACACTCTTGCGCCAAGCCCCCATATTTGTTTTTTTTTTTTAAATAAAATTAATGTAATTTTAGACCTATAGTTAAACTGCTCTTCACTATCTCCTGTCAGACAAACTTGGTAAATTGGTCTTATATAGTTGTATGTGACTGGTTTATTTACACCGAGGATCTGCGTGAGGTAGGAGAGCTTTTATTGTCTTTTTTTTTTTCTTTAAGATTATTTATTTGAAAGACAGAATGGCACACAGAGAGATAGGGAGTTATTCCATCTGTTTATTCACTCCCCAGTGGCTGAAATGTCCAGGAAGTCAGAGCTCCATCCGGGTCTCCCAGGCGGGTGTCGGGGCCCAAGCACCTAGGCCATTTCCACTGCTTTCCCAGCCACAGGAGCTGGGGCAGAAGCAGTACAGCCAGTACTCACCCTGACTCCATTTACGATATCAGCGCTGCAGGTGGGAGCTTAATCTTTGCGACACGCCCATGGTTGTAAGAGATTATTTGAAAACACAGAGGGGCACACAAGGCCTGGAAGCAGGAAGCCTGAAGCCAGCTCCCCGGTGCCATACCCTGGTGGAAAGTTCCAGCTTACGCATACCAGGCCGTACCTGTCCATTATCTGCTCCAGGAAGACAGAGAAGGACTACTTTTATTTCTCTAGATAGACATCCACCTGTTCTCGTATTGCTCAAGTTACTTATGCCTCAGAAATCTGGAAAATCCATCAGGACGACCGTTTGACACGCAGGGAGACTGAGGCCCAAGGAACAGCTGTGGTTTGAATGAGCAGCCCCTGCCCAGGGTTCATTCCAGAACCTCCGTGTTTGGCAAGGTGAGGCGGAGGCAAGGGAAGGGATGGCAGTGGCTGGGACGGGTGAACTTTGGCCGCTGGGCAATAAGGAAAAGAACTGGCGCTGTCTTCAGATTACTGATCTTGGCTGTGGCTGATCTGCAGAGAGGGGTGGGGCAGTTTCCCTCCAGGGGCCCCACAGACCATCCACACTCTAAAGGCTGTGTCCAGCCCCCAACCCCAGAAGGCCACACAGGTTCTAGAGGCGAGCCTCAGCGACCCCACACACCTGCTGGGTGGCCTTACAAGAGTCCTTTACCCTTCTGAGCCTCGACTTCCTCTTTGTAAAATGGGACAAGGACCTTTAACTCTCAATATGGCTCCAGGGATTAAAAAGAGAGCCAATATGCATGCAGTGTGAAGCAAAGGCATCTAAAAGTTCAGCCCTCTCACCAGCCTCATCCAGGGACAGCAGAGGGGTGCCAAGCCCGACGCTTGAAGAAAGAGAAGCCACTGGCACACACATTCATGGGAGATGTGACAGACCCCAGGGTGGTGCCTGGAGGTGGTCTTTGTCTTTGGAAAGCTGTTGGTGGAGGCGGAACAGGGGTCTGTTGTCAGCAAACACTAGCCATGGACACACGTCCACTATGGACCCCGGCCCTGTGTCCAACGGAGAGCCAAGCCCCAGTCGGAGGACTCGAGGCTCTCAGCGAGCACCCCCTCTTCCCGTCCAGCTCCTCACACACGTTATGACGTGCACGTGCATCTTCGCAGTCTTTGGTGTGGAAGATAAAAGTCCCCAAATGAAACTGCTGGGTCACAAACACAAGTGCTGGGCCTTTGCGATGGGGAAGAGCACTGCCCGGTGTCCCTGTGGCACAGCATTCAATGCCAGCTCGGGAGGATGCCCCAACTTCCGCTGCAGCTGAAAGGCTGTCCCACCCCCAATCCCTGCTCCCCGTTGCATGGTGTGCAGGTACACACCTGCTGAGGCCTCACCACGCCGCCCTGGCTGCCTGGGGGGCCTGTCCATGCCCATGCCTACGCGCAGGCCACTTCCGGGGGAGAAATGTGCCACCCTCTCCCCTGGTGCTCCTGCACGCCCCCAGCCCCGGAGCTCCATGTCTGACCCAGGTGACACACAAGGCAGTGGGTGTCACCCTGGAGTGCAGGGGAACCCCAGGCACCCCCCCGGGCGGGTGCAGACTGCAATCTGCTGCCACCACCTACCACAATATGTGCCCCCCAGGACCTTTAGAGCCCCGAGAACATGAGCATGGAGAGCAGGCTGGGAAGCAGGTACTGGCTATTCCAACCACTTCCAGCTGTGTGGTCTTGGGGTACAAGTAGACAACCCTGTGAACCCCAGAGGGCAGGCATGCGAAGGCTGAGACAAAGGTCCCCCTGGGCACACAGGAGGGGCCTGGGAAGCCAGAGCAGGACAGCTCCCACTGCACACCCTGCTGCTCCCACACACTTAGCACAGGAAGACACTCCAGAAGGAGTGTCTTCATTTTTGTCTCACCCTAGCCTTAGGGGTCAGGAAGTTTGCAAGGCAATGTAGGGTAAGGTTCAGCATGAAAAGCAAAACTGCCAGGACAGGCAGGGGCCAGGGAGGGGAAGTGCCTGGCCTGAGTTGACACAGCAGACCAAGGGCAGGCCCTGGTGGCCCATCCTCTTGGTTGCCCTTCACCATGCGGCTTTTTCCACTCCCCATCACCCACCAGGTCGTGACAACCCCAGCTGGCCCGCACACGGAAGCCCTCATTTCACTCCCTGGTCCGGGCAATCGATCACGACTCTTCTGGAACTCCGCTTCCATCTGAGAAATGGGCATAACCGCGGTGGGGATGGATGGCCTGGCAGCGCCTGCGAGGATCCCCATCGCACTCCGAGGGCGGGCCGGGAGCCATGACTCAGCCTCAGGCCCCAGGCTGCCCAGCCGGTCCGACCGGCCAGGGATGCAAAGGGGCCGCCCGCCCGCGGGGTGACGGGAAAGGAGGCGGGCCGTGGGCGCGGCGCGCTCAGCCAGGCTCCCAGGCGGCGGGCAGCGAGGATGCGAGCGGGACCCCACGGCGGCCCGCAGCCCCAGGAGCCCCGCTGAAGCCGGCCACGGCGACCCGGCGACCCGAGCACTCGCGACATGGGCCTGCACTTCGGTGAGCGGCGGGGGGCGAGGAGGCAGCTGGGTGGGGGGCGGCGCTACAGCTCGCCCCAGTCCCTTCTGCAGGGGGCAGAGCACTGTGTTGGGAGTCCAAACCCGGAGCAAGGTTTCCTCCCTGGGCCTCAGTTTCCCTAGCAGTGAGAGGGCAGGAGGAGGACAGACAGGTCCCACCATGTTGACACCTTGCCACGGCTTTCTCAGGGAGGGCCCCTGTCACCCCACACGCAGGTGGAAGAAGCAGTGCTGGAAAGGGGACCCAAGCTTGGGTTCTCAGTTTGCACTGCTTGCTCCGGGCAGTCAGCAGGGGGAAAGGACTTGGCCAGCAGGATCTGACCAGAGAAGCCCACCCCATGGGTGCTCTCCCTGCCACAGTGAGGCCGCCCTGTGCTCAAGCGCGCCCAGAGAGTGCCCACTGTCCATACCCGAAGGCCACCCTTTCCCCATGGGTAGAATGGGGACAGGAACAGCTATTTCCAAAGGCTGCTCTGACAGTGCAGTGAGCACCCAAGAGGACAAGGACCAGCCACCATGCCCAGTTCTCCCTGACTGCCCTGAGGCTCTCCATCCAGTGCCGCAGACATGGCCCCCTATGGTGTTTACCTCTGGTCTGTCACCAGTGTCTTGGTCCTGGGCTGCTACTCTTGTTCTTCAGCCCAGCCCCAAGCCAGGTGGTGTCTCTGCTACCAGGCAGGTAGGTGGGTGAGGCAAGGTGGCACCCAGCCCCAGAGAAGGAGCTGTGTGATCCATCCTGCTGGGCCAGCAGTTAATCTTCAAGACACCATTCCAGTTCCACAGTGCCTGTCAGCGCATCCGCCTGACCTCTGCTGCACCTGCTCCGGTCCCAGGAGGACCATGACCGGCCAGTGGACAATCTGGGGCTAGAGGTGCCAGGGACGGGTACACAGCAGGCCAGGGAGTGACCACAGCCCTCCCTGCTTTCTGGGAAGTGTGTCTGAGAAAATCTGGGCTAATGGTTTCTTTCTTTTATTGCTTAAAAGCTGCAAGAAAGGTGGGGAGACTGAAGGAGGTGCTGTTTAGTTCTGGAGGCTGGCCACAGCCATCTCACAAAGCTGGCTGGAGTTGGGGGCTGTGGGGGTCATGAGCTGGTAAGCAGCAAGTCCTCAGGGGCAGAGCCAGGACCCCTGGGGTAATTTCCAGAAAGCAGCTCTGGAATAGTCTGTGCTGCCCACGGAGGGCTCCCGGTCCCTGAGGATGCACTGACAAGTTCTGGGCAGGCGCCTGACCCCTTGGGTGGAACTTGAACCTAAGCAGCCATATCTTTGAACTCCAGCTTCCCCCACTTGTCCCTACCCAACACCCCCTTCCACACACACACATATACCAAGGCCGACTTACTTTTCCCAGTACCCCCAGGGTGGTCCCCGCTGCCCGTCCATGTTCAGGGACCCTCCTTCCCCACAGAGAAACAGGTGGAGTTTCTTATCATCTTATAGATGGAGATTCAGAGGCTTGAGTGCCTTGTCCCGGGTCAGTCAGCTTCTGGTGGTTCAGTCCGGTACCCAGAGGACTGAGGGGCTCCTGTATGCCAATCCCTATCGCAGCCTCAGCTTGGTCCCTGCCTGCTGGACTAGAGGTTCGGGGTGGGGGTGAAGGACCCTCCCTGTGATCATGGATAAGGGAGGGGAGGTTCAGAGTGGACTAGGGACAGGCCCCGCGTGCAGACGCGGGCCTAGGACCTAGCATTCCTCCATACTGCCCAGGCTTTGGGTTCCTCTTCTGCCCAGCAGAATGAGCCAACCCAGGGCCCTGACTGTCCCCACAGGTGCCCTGAGCGTGGGGGACTTCCGGAAGGTTCTGATGAAGACGGGCCTGGTGCTGGTGGTGCTGGGCCACGTGAGCTTCGTCACAGCTGCGCTGCTCCATGGCACGGTGCTGCGCCACGTGGCCGCCCCCCACGATGCCGTGGCTCTGCAGTACTGCGTGGTCAACATTCTGTCAGTCACCTGTGCCATTGCGGTACGACCAAGGTGGCAAGATGGTAGGGTGGTGGGTGGGCGGGAAAGGTTTGAAAGGTCTTCCATGAGTACCCACCAGGGCCCCGGGGTAACTAAGCAGAGAGCCCCAAGCACTAACCCCTGCCCCACCACTGTGTCGAACTGTACCCATCCTTCCAAAACTCTTTGCCTCAGTCTGTTCATCTATAAAATGGGGATGGAAATGGTGTCCACTTGAGAAGGTTCCAATGAGTACTGAATGGGATCATCTCCATAAAGTACACCATGCCTAACACATAGTTGGTGCTCCAAACATTGAGAAATATTCAAGGTACAGTTGGACAAAGGGCAGAAGGAACACTAGGTCAGTTTGGGGGAAGGGTGGGGTCTGGGAAGGTCTCACGAGGGTGGGAGGGTCTCTGAGCTGGGCACTGATGGACCAGTAGGAGTTCACAGCTGGGCTGCAGTGAGCATGACCAGGGGAAGAGGTAGGCTGGGGCCAGCAGGTAGGAAAAGAAGCTGGGATGGCATCCCAGGTCATGGGGCCTGGCAGGTGCAAAGGTGTGGCAGTGAACAAAGCTGGGATCTCTTCTACAGATGCAGAGCTGAGCAGATGCATCCGGCAGGAGCTCAGCAGGGAGGCCTACTCTGTGCTCACTGCTCCATACATGGCAGCTATGACTGGCTGGCCAGGCCCGGCAGATAAAGAAAGGAGGGTGGTACTGTCGACTTGGCAAATCTCTATCCTGCTGGTCAGCAGAGGCAGCCATGAGCCCCCGGGTAGTATCCCTGCTTGAGGTCCATACTTGGAGCAAAATGCCTGCCCCCGCCCCCCTGCTCGGCCCCAAGGCTGAGGTCTGTGAGGACCCAGGGGAGCAGGGCAGTGTCCTTGAACCACTGCACCTGTCTGAAGGGCAGGAGACCCACCGAGGTGGGACAGCCTCGTCTCGGCCTCCCTCAGGGGTTTGCCCATGGCTCACCCATCACAACCTCTCTCTCCCAGGGCAGAATAGAGACCCAATATTTACCCAACCTCCTGGTGCTAGCAAGCAGCCCTGAGCCTGCCTGTGGCTGACCCGAGGGCGCAGCCAGCAAAGCAGCAGCAGGACCCGGCCCAGAGCGGCTGAGGCATTTGGCTCAGTGAATCCAAGCCATGGTTGGGAGCCCGGAGTGGTAGCCTAGAGGCTACAGTCTTTGCCTTACATGTGCCGGATCCAATATGGGTGCCGGTTCTAATCCAGGTAGCTCCACTTCCCATCCAGCTCCCTGCTTGTGGCCTGAGAATGTAGTGGAAGACAGCCCAGGGCCTTGGGACCCTGCACCCACGTGAGACATTCCTGGCTCCTGGCTTCAGATCAGCTCAACTCCATTGTGACCATGTGGGGAGTGAACAAGTGGGTGAAGGATCTTTCTCTTTGTCTCTGCTCTCTCTATAAATTTTACTTTCTAATAAAAATAAATAAAGCTTAAAAAAAAAATGCCATGGCTGGGCCAGCCTCCACGGCTCCATCCCAGGCCTGGTCCCCAAGGAGGAAGCTGGGCTGGCCAGAAAGCAGCTGCTGGGCTGCTCTGGCAAGCCTGGCTGGGAATGGGCAGGGCTGGCAGGCAGGGGCATCCTGAGGCAGCCCGCCGTGCACTTGCCAGGATTGGGGGCTCTATGCTATAACACAGCCTGGTTTGTCTTCCTCTAACAATTTCTTGCCACTTGCTTTCCTCCCCGACCTTTTTCACTCCAGGGAGCTGTGCCCATACACCCTGGGTGGGCATGCTCCCCAGAGTGCATCTGCAGGCAGGTGGGAGCCACAGGCCCTGACTCAGACTCAACAGCTTGGCAGAGGGGAGTCACGGAAGAGGGAGTGGGCAGGGACAACCATGCTCTGGAAATGTCCTTCTACGGCCAGTCCAGTGCCTCGGTGGCGATGGAAGTGAGGCCCACACTTGGGGTGCCGGGGCCTGGGCGCTCTCCAGGTGGTCCTGACCACTCCACCTGCCACCTGCTCCCCTCCAGGTCATCACAGCTGGCATTGCAGCTATCGTGTTGTCACGCTACCTCCCCAGCACCCCTCTGGTATGTGGCACCCCTGGGGAGCTCAGGCAAGGCTGAGCAGGGGGAGCGGGAGGGGGGCAGGGCACCGTGCAGCAAGGGCCTGGCGGCTGTGGGGTCCCAGCCCTGCATCCCCTGACCAGTGCGGCCTCCCTCCTGCAGCGCTGGGCAGCATTCAGCTCCAGTGTGACCTGCGCTCTCCTCTCTCTGACCTGCGCCCTGGGCCTCCTGGCCTCCATCGCCGTGACCTTTGCCACCCAGGGCCGAGCCCTGCTGGCTGCCTGCACTTTTGGGAAGCCTGAAGTACTGGCACTGTCCCCCGATTGTCCCTTTGATCCCACACGCATTTACGTGAGTGCCTCTGCTGGGGCCGGGCGGGCACGGTCCAGGTGCTGCATGGCAGGGGGAGGGTGGGGGTGGCCAAGGGACCACAGAGCCCACTCACGTTGGCTTCCACGGTTCCACAGAGCTCCAGCCTGTGCCTCTGGGGTATTGCACTCATCCTGTGTGTGGCTGAGAGCGTGTTTGCCGTGCGCTGCTCTCAGCTCACCCACCAACTGCTAGAACTGAAGCCCTGGTGGGGGAGAAGCAGACACTATGCGGTGAGTCCCCCCATGGTGGTCCTGACTCCCCGTCATTCTGGATGAGGTCCCACCTCCAAAATTGGAACCAAAGCAGAGCAGGGGTGGGGGCAGTGCGTGGAGGGTCAGGCAGGGTCAAGGCTCTCCTGGGCCAGGGAAGGGTCTGGAGGAAGGGCAAGGGGCAGCAAGGCTCCACCTGACACCAACCCTGGGTCCTAGAGCTGGCCCCACTTACCCTCAGAGATCCATCCCCCCACCTCACTTCAGAGGAGACCCTGGCCCAGATCCCCACAGACTTGGCAGTTTGGGTGTCTCTGCAGGTGCAGGAGAACGTGGAGCCCACCGAGGGCCAGGATCTGCTGAGCAGTACCCCGTCTGTGCCTCTGACCCTCTGAGAGCCAACGCCTTGCCTGGGCCCTGCAGTTGCTGCACCCACGTCCACACCAAGGGGGACCAAGCCAGGTGTCCTAGAGCCTTCCAGGGAGGTCCCAGAGTGTGGGGCCTGCTCCCGGCCACCCAGCCCACTGCACTGAGACGAGACTTTATTGTGAAGTTATTAAAAAGGACACAGATGCTCCGAGTAGTTGCATGCACGGGGTAGAGGGCTGGGAGCGGGGCTCGGCCAGGGGGCTGTGCAGCTCTCCACATGGGCTAAGGTGCGGGTGCCCAGCTGCCCGTGGGGCTGTGTGTGCACTGCAGGAGGGTGACAGACAGGGGTCCTGGAGCTGTGTGTGGCTGCCTGTGCTCATCCACGTGCTGGGACAAGGCAGGGTACACTGGAGCCTGCAGCCCATGTGGGTTGGGATCCCAGGGCAGCCCCAGGCAGGAGAGCTACCCCCCCCCCCAGGAAGGGGGTGAGACCCCCTTGCAGGCAGGGTAGGATGTGTTAAGCAAGCTTTTTCCCAGGCCCCTCATTGCTCTCCCCAACCCCGCAGCACACCGCTGGAATCCCGCTCTCCCCACCTCCCCTACACAGGGCTCTCTTCTGTCCAGCTGGGAGACCAGCAAGCCAGCAGGGAGCCTGGCTACGGTGGGTGGACAGGGGCCAGCTGATTTGGGTAAAGGAGCCCGCTGCATGTGCTGGCGCTCTCTCTCTCTCTCTCTCTCTCTCTCTCTCTCTCTCTCTCTCTCTCTCTTTCTCATGCTTGGACCCTGGGAAGGGGGCTGCAGAACTCCCTTTGCCAGCACTACACCCCTCCCCGGGTCCCAGGGCAGGCCTGCAGACCCCATTCCGCGTCTAGCCCCCCGTCTAGCGCCTGGACAGACACAAGGAGAAGGAAGCCGGGAAGGCAGGGAGCAGGGGACTCGGGCTGCGGGCTCTCAGAACTGGGAGGCGCTGCTCGGGTCGCACTGCAGCAGGCGCACGATGGACGGGTCGCTCTTGGCCCCACGGATGAACTCCTCCAGGGAAAGCTTGCCTGCGAACCAGAGGAGCCGTGATGAGGATGCCGGCTGCGGCGGCAGCAGCAACCGCGACCCAGGACGCGTCGTGCAGAGGGGCAGGGGAGGGGAGCCCGCCCCACCCGCTCACCATCGTTGTTCGTGTCCATCTGGCGGAAGATCTTCTCGGTCCTCTTCTCCGGGGTCGACTCGTCCTCAGGCATCTTCATCACGGACGAAACCATCTTGTAAATGGCCTGGGGGGCGGGAGGAGAAGGTAGGAGTCAGAGGAGCCCGTCTGAGCCCCCTACCCAAGACATGTTTGCAGCTGGGGTGGGGGGGGGGGTTCTGCAGGGGAGGGCACTGCGAATGGGCTTTTGGAGAGTTTTGCTGGCAGAGGGCGCTTTGCACGAGCGGGCCTGCGGTGTGGAAGCTCGAGAAGGGGGTCGGCAGAGATGTGGGGAGTCTAGGACACCAGGCTGCTCGTGCCCGGGACGAGGTGCCTAGTGGATGCAGAGATGCCGCACCCACCCAGCGTCGGCCCAAGGGGTGGCACTGGGCTTGCTGCGCTGCCTGCGGCCGGCAGGGGGCGCGGGGCCGCGTCCGGGGCTGGAGGCAGGTGGAACCCAGAGGGGGCGGGAACATTATGCAAACGAATGCAAATTGGCATCCGCTGTGGGGCGAGGACAACCTGTTCCCTGCTGGGCAGAGGGAGTTCCCGTGGAGACCCGAAGGAGACGCTTGCAATAACCCTGGGAAGCACGCGCGGCTTGGCCTGAGGAATGGGCTGAGTGAGACCAAGGACCGGATCTGTCGGTCGCATTGGTCTTTCAGCTTTATCAGACCAACACCTCCTCCAGGAAGCCTCCCACCTCCCATCCCATAAACTTCCCCTGCCTGCGATCCCATCTCAGCCCCCACACTGGTCTCTTCCAGCCGCTTTCCTGGGCTCCGTCCCCCATACGCTGTCTCTCTGAGCTTTTTGCAAGTACAGATCTCCACCGCCACGTCCGCAGCCCAGCACGCGGCCCCCGCACTCCATCAGGCTCAGGCCTCCCGCCAGACCCAGAGAGCCCCTTCTGGAGGCTGCCCCACGCTCCTTCTGCTGCCGCCCACTCCTCCTTGGGGCTCACTTTACACGAGGCTTTCTTGGCAAGGCCTTCTCTGACCCACCCCACCACCACCACCACCCTTGCAGTACTTCTGTCTCGGTAGGACTGATCCAAGAACCGGGCACCTGTGGTCAGCACCCATATCCCCATGCAGCACCTGGCAGGGACACCCCTGTTTATTATTTTTTTTATTATTCTTATTTTCATTGGAAAGGCAGATATACAGAGAAGAGAGACAGAGAGGAAGATCTTCTGTCCGATAATTCACTCCCCAAGTGAGCACAACGGCCGATGCTATGCCGATCCGAAGCCAGGAGCCCCCTCTGGGTCTCCCACGCGGGTGCAGGGTCCCAAAGCTTTGGGCCGTCCTCAACTGCTTTCCCAGGCCACAGGCAGGGAGCTGGAAGGGAAGCGGGGCTGCCAGGATTAGAACCGGCGCCCATATGGGATACCGGGCGTTCAAGGCGAGGACCTTAACCACTTGCACCGCGCCAGGCCAACACCCCTGTTTAGAGACCAACTGCCCCAAGCTCCATGTCCAAGCCATCCACCCCTGACATTCAGGACACCATCTGCTGGCTACTGGCCTCTCCACCAGTGGGGTGATTCTGTCACAACAGGCGCCATGGCCAGCTTTGGCCTGGACAACCCGCTTGGCCACCTGGTAGAGGATGTTTGCTCAGCACCAAGTCCTTTAGATGCACCCATTTTCCAGAAAGGAAAATAAGTTGGGTGGAGAGAGAGAGAGATGGAGGGAAGGGCAGGAGTTGTGCACACAGCATTCCACATCAAGTGCCAGTCCTGCACAGCCACTTGATCTCCATGAGCCTCAGTGGCCCCATCCATAATGGCACCTCCCTCCTGCGCCCTGTGTCAGAGGACTCCATGCGACCATGCACATGGAGTAGTGGCTGGCTATAGTAGCCATCCCTAAACAGCAGCTCCTGTTATGTCCATGGGCTCATGAGGTTCCCCCATCCACTCAGTCCCCTCCCCATCCCTCCAGATGTCACCTTTGCCCGCAGTCACTGCACATTTCTCTCTTACCACAGCAAAGGCACCTAGAGACCCAGCCTCTCCCTGCCCAAGGTGCCCACTGCCAGCCCAGGGCCAGCTCCTGAGAAGGACTGAGCAGCAACTGTCCCCTCCCTTGGCAACAGCCCTTCTCCTGGGCCTCTTAATTCATTGTTCGGACTTGCTGCTGGCCTCAGTGTCGCCAGAGCCGCCTCGCCATTAATCAGGCCCTGCAGTTGGCAGAGTGCTGTCTGCTCCGACTGTCTGGGGGCTCCTGGGCTGCCAGCAAGGAGGCCAGATACCAGGGAGCAGAGAGCACAGGGGTCTCAGAGGGGCCCGTGGAAGGGGCTGGCATGATGGTTCCGGCAGGCCTCAGGGTCTCCTGGTGCAGCCCTCACCCAATGGGAGGTGCCCTGCTGCTCCCATCAGCAAACCCAGAGCTACCTGCCACCCCCGCAGCCAACCACTGAAGCTAATATTTGGTCCACAGGACAAAACGAGGATCGTGGAGGCTTCCTGGCCCACACCTGCTCGATGCAGAAGGGAAGGAGCCAAGAACTTGGCTCAGCTGGGAGGCAGGAACACACAGGGGCCCTTCAGAGTGGCCAGAAAGGACACCCTGTGACCGCAAAGACATGGGGGGGGTGGCAGAAATCACTGAGGGGCACCAGCACTGGCCCAGTGCCAGCTGCATGCCCTGTCCCGCTTCAAGGCCCAACAGCTTCCACTCCACAGCTGACGAAACATTCAGGCACCCGGTGGGCAATTCGCTCAACAAGTCAGCAGCGCCCAAAGCCAGGCTGTCCTCAGGGCTGGGCTGCTGGGCTATGCGGCAGGGCCTGGAAGGACCTCTGAGGAAGTGCCTGTGTGCTGCACAGGGACTGGAGTTGGGTCCCTACATCTCATTGGGTCAGCATCACTGGCCCCAGCCAAGAGGTAGGGTCAGCTCCAGCTCTGAACTGGAAGTCAGCACTCTTGACTGAGGACCAGAGCCATCACAGGAAGATGCTGTGGAGGCTGGGGATGCAACCCAGGAGGGTAAGCCGTGGCTTGGGATGCTGGCATCCCATGTCAGAGTGCCTGGCATTGAGTTCTGCCTCTGCTTCCCTTCTGGCTTCCTGCGAATGCATATCCGGAAGGCAGCAGGAATGCAGGTTCTGCGGCCCACATAAGATGGAGCTAGAGTTCCTAGCTCCTGGCTTTGACCTGGCACAGCGACTGGGGCATCTGAGCAGAGATCCAGCAGATGCAAGATCTCTCTCATTCTATCATTCCACCTTTCAAGTATATAAAAACAAATTAGTGTTTGAGCCTGACATTATAGCCTAGTAACTAAATCCTCACCTTGCATCCACTGGGATCCCAGATGGGCGCCAGTTCATATCCTGGCTGCGCCACTTCCCTTCCAGCCCTCTGCTTGTCATGTGGGAGACCCGGAGGAAGCTCCTGGCTCCTGGCTTTAAATCAGCTCAGCTGTGGCTGTTGTGGCCACTTGGGAAGTGAACCCGCAGATGGATCTCTCTGTATTTCCTTTTCTCTGCCTTTCCAATAAAATAATTAATTAATTAATATTTCAAAAATTGTTCTGTATGATGCTCTGATTTTGACTCTGCTTACCTGCTGTGTGACTTTGGGAAAATCACTCCACCTCTCTGAATTTCATGGGGTGGTCGAAAGGAGGTAGTGAACACCTGGCTATAAGTTCCTTCCTCAGGGGACCCCACATCAGTTAGCTGGAAGGTGGCTGGGTATCCAGAAGTCGCGTGGACAGTGGAGCCAATCTGCCCACTCACAGGCTGTGTGGCCATGGGCATGCTTTATCCCCCTGGGCACCAGAGGACAGAGAAAACATCCCTGGCTTGTGCTCTACAGAAAGCCAAGTTAGGAGAGGCAAAGAAAAGCTGAGGACCCTTCCAGATCAAAGGGACTAACCAAGACATGACAGGAAAACACAGGCCATGACCCTCTAACCAGAGGAGAGAAAAACAAATATGATGGAGACACTTGGCAGAGCCGGCATATCTAAATGAGACAACTGCATTGTTTCGATGCTAATTGCTCTTCAATAATCACATTACAGGTTATGTAAGAGAACGCCCTGATTCTTAAGAAACGCATCCTAGTATATTCAGGGGTAAAGGCTCCGTGTTCAGAGCAAAGCATCCCCCACAGTGGTTGGCATGCACACACACCACGGGGACCAAGCCACAGTGACGAGCCTCTCACCTGTGACTGGTCAAAGCGAGCTGAGAGTTTACCCAACTTTGCTTTAAATCCACGATGATTTTATTTTTCTACTAAAGAACTTCAATGGGGTTGTAGAATTGCACCTACCACATGTGCCCCTGGAGAGGAGGATTAAAAGGAGTGGCGGCTACAAGCCCCCAGGCCCACCTGCACAATCTCCAGCATCTCCTCGCGGCTGATGTAGCCGTTGCCGTCCAGGTCGTACATGCTGAAGGCCCACATGAGCTTCTGCTCCAGGCGGCCGCGTGAGGTCACGCTGAGCGCGATGATGAACTCCCGGAAGTCGATCGTGCCATCGCTGTTGGTGTCAAAGGTGCGGAAGACGTGCTCGGCGAACTTGGAGGCGTCGCCGTAGGGAAAGAAGTTGGCGTAGATCTTCTTGAACTCGTCCACGTTGAGGATGCCCGTGGGACAGTCCTTGAGGAAGCCCTTGTACCATTCCTGCAGCTCCAGCTCCGAAAACTCCGTGTTCTCCCGCAGGTCCTGCAGCATCTCGGGCCGCAGCTTGCTGTTCTGCTTGCCCATGGCCACTGAGCCAAGTCCCACCTGGGTCCCCAAGAGGGTCAAGGGACACAGAGGAGCCATCAGGTCCTGTTGACCACTCAGGCCCCCTGCAGATCTCTCTCTCTCTCACACACACACACAGAGCCTCTCCTTAGACCTGGCCCAAGGTCACAGAGCCTGCACCTGGGTGTGCTGCCTCTGGTACAATCTCCACCAGGCCTCCCTAGCGCTGGCTGCTCCCTGGGATCACAGCTGGAGAGGAAGGAAGGGAGGGAGGCTCACACCCACTGAAACCCCTCGTGGTGCCAGCCATACATCATACATCATCAAGCATACATCATTGCTACCTCTCAAGCAGGTGTTGGGGGAGTCTCCCCATTTTTCAGATGTGAAATCAGATTTAGGCAGTCAGGTTGCCCTGCTATGGCACAATGGGGTGGCTCCCCAGGGAGGGCACAGGGACCTCCCCCCTCTTCCCCATCACTGCTCCCTCTCTGCCTCCCACACACCTGCTCACCACAAAACACACCTGTGGCCCAGATGCTGCCCCGCTTCCAGGGCCACAGGTGTGCCTCACAAGAGGCAGTGTGGAAGCAGTGTTGGCCTGGGTTCTGGAGCCAGATCACCAGAAGTAGAATTCCCCAGACTGTCTTTTAGCAGCTGTGTGACCTTGGGTAAGTCCCTTACATGCTCTGTGCCACAGCTGTAATGAGGGGAGGGGACACTGGTAACAGTTCTGACCCCATAGGATCATGATGGGGAGTCAGTAGGTGGACGCATGCGTGGTACTTAAGAGGCATGCCTGCACAGGTAAGCGCTACGTAAGTGTTAAATAAATAAAAACGATTGACGTATGCCCAGATGCACCCGAGACACACGCATGGCCCTGTGCAAACAAGGCTGACACATACCACTGTAACCCTGTCACACACACAGCAGCCCACACCCCATCCACAGGGCTCTGGACCCCCCTTCTCACCCCTGCACACATGACAGCCTCTCCTCCAGCTCCACAACCCTGACACAGGGCACCACGCACAACCCCCACACCCCAGGCAGCAAGACACAGCAGCCCACGACCCCACATGTCTCGCACACCATCACATGCCCACTCGCATGCCGACACCTCTCACATGGCCAGCCACACGTGGGACCTCCAGGCACCCCTGCCATCTTTCTTTCTTTCTTTGGGGTGCTGCCAGATCCCGGAAGAATGAACTACAGGCTTTCTTCCACCTCTGTCACTGAGCACCCCAGTCCAACCCACTCTCCCCCAACACTCACCTATCTTCTGTTCCCCCAGATCCCTTCAGTGCAAGAGGCTGGCTCAGGCAGTCCCCAAAAGGGATGTAAGGGTGTGTGCCAGGGATCCCCAACAGGCTCATACTCCAAGCAGTGAGTGAGCAGGCAGAGGGGGTTCCTACAGGGTGCCTGGGTCCCGTGCACACATGGGTGGGTGCGGGTGTGAGAACACTCGTGTGCCCACATAGCCTGGGTCTCCCTGTGTCTCTGCCGTGCCTGTACATCAGATGTTCATGCGCTGATGTGACCAGTTAATGCAAGGGGAATGTGCCCGACTGGCCATTGGGGGCACCTGCGTGTGCACGAACCCATGTCCCTCCTGTCGCCATCAGCCTGTTTTCCCCTGGCTGAAGATCCCACTGAACAAGTATGGGGAGTGACTGCATATGCTGGGGCAGGGGAGTGTGTCCACCCCCCTCTACTCCCGGACTCAAGGGCCAAGCAACTGGGTCACCAGGGCGGTGGGGAGAGAGACGTGCTGGCCAGGGGAGCTCCTCCAGCGCGTCCTCTTCGCTCCCACCCTCACAGCCGCCCCTCCTCATCGGAAGACTCTGGAGTCCTGCGGAGCCCCCGGGCCCCAAAATGAAAAGAATCCCCCAGCTCAACCTGAGACAGCCATCCCGGTGACCCCTCCAATTTCCCCCACCCACCCATCCCCTCCCTGGCTCTGGCCCTGAACCGCCCCCAGCCCTTCGGCGCAGGGAGAGCGCTTGGAGCCTGCCCCCTCCTGGAGGGGGCGCGCTGGGCGGCCGACCCGCGGTTCCCGGGTGCAGGGGGCCCCCTCGGCGGTCAGCACCCTGGAGAGCGCCCCGGTTCCCCGTGGGAGTCCCCGGCGCCGCCGGCGGGGTGTCCAGACGCCCCGGGGGTGCGTGCAGCAGCGGCGCCGGGGGAAGCCCTGGACGTGGTCCCCGACTGTGGGAAAGCTCCCTCCCCGCGTCGCTGGCCCCGACCGGAGCAGCCCCCACTCACCCAGCCACGCCGAGACACCGACTGCGCAGGGAAGGCGGCGCTGCTGCGGCGCGCGGCGGCAGAGGCGGCCGGAGGGGCGGGCGGGCCTGCGAGGGAGACGCCCCGCGGCGTTGGCCCTCCCCTCGGGGGTCCCCCCCAGCCCCGGGGAGCGCCAGGCTCCGCCCCGAGAGGGGAGGGGACGCCCTCACTCCCCCGGGCCCCTCTCCAGGACTTGCTTTACCCCTGGGTGCTGGGGGTGGAGGATGAGGGGGGCAGTGTGCAGGGCCGAGGCCCCCCCGCGTCTCTGGGGCCGCGCGACTCGAGATTGGAGGGGCTGTCGATGACGAGGCCTCTTTGCCAAGCTGGGACCGGCCAGGTGCACCCCACTGTCCCCGCCCGGGCGCCTCGAGGGCAGAATCCTGACCTCGGACTCTTGCTGACCCTAGCGCAGCCCCAACTCCAGAGCTGAGCCGGGGGCTGCTCGGAAAGGAGAGGGGAGGGGCGCCCATCCTTCCAGCCCCCCCACCCCGAGATCTCGGTGTGGAGGACACGTCCCCCGCCCCCCTCACCTTAGCGAGCCGACCCACACCTGGCCGCCCACCCGCGACCTCATTTTCCGCCCCCGCCTCAGATTTAACCCCACCTCCCAACGTCCAGGAAAGCTGCTCCCTGTCATCCCCCAGCCCCACCCCCGATCGGGGACACCCCTCTCTTTGGGCATAGGTGAGGGCAGGGGGGCCTCCAGATCGGAAGGTGACAGGACCCCCTCCCCTGCAGCAGCTTGCACACCAGACCCTCCTTCTCCAGGAGGCCACCCTGGCCACAGCTCCTCCTGCCGGCGCCTGAACCACGATGATCCCACATCCCGAGCTTAAACCGTGTCCTTTCGCCATCGCCACGACTGACCCTGACTGTCCCCACTTCACAGAGAAGGCTCAGAGATGCGTGGTGACGTCACCAGGGGCTCGCGGCAGGTGGCCGCGGGGCTCGGGCTGGGAAGGGAGCCACGGGCTGGCCTGCCTTCATGTTTCCATCATTTGCCGAGCTGACCCAGGGTAAGAGATGGCCAGGGAGGCGAGGCGGGTGCAGCGTGGGACCCATGGCATGTGCCCCCCACCGAAACAGCTCCTCCAGGGCAGCATTCTGCGGTGTCTTGGAGTCCCCCACGCCTCGGAGGCAGCAAGAGGTGTCCCCGGAAAAGCCGGGAGGCACACTGTGCGCCGGACTGCGGCCAGCTGGGCGCCGGTACATCCGGAACACGGGCTCCACTGTGAGCCTTGGCTCTGGTGCTGGGACCCCCGTGGAAGCGTGAGAGACGCCAGACGAATGTGGGGGCGGTTCCCAGCTGCCTCCTGCTCTAGGAGGTGGGGAGCTGCACGGTTCGCCCCCCCACCCCAGGCCCCAAGCAACTGACTGGCTCTTCTCTCTACCCACCAAGCCTGGAGGGGCCTGCCATGTCTCCTAGCTTGCCCCTCCGGCCTGCCTGAGGCCAAATCTTGCCAGCCTGGTCAGCTTCCAGGTCTTCTCTCCACACTGGGTGGGAGTAGGAGTGGGGTCCATTTACCTCCACCTGGGGCAGTTCAGCTTCTCTTTCACCCTGCTCATCGCCTGGCCCCAGCTTTGCCTCCTCCAGGCTGGCTTCCAGACTTAGTCCCTCAACACCACCTCTAGGCTCTACTGCTTTTCTAGGCTGGAATGCCTAGACCCTGTTTGCAGAGCCCCCCCGGCTGTGTCCTGTGCCCTCAGCATCCAGGGACTCCCCCTCCCACTGGGCAGTCACTGCACCTAGAAGGAGCAGGGTGGGTGGAGGCAGATGGGGTCCAGGGTCGAGGTGTGGAGGACTCTGCTTGGCTAATTCCCATCAGCCACTGAGCAACACCCAGACCCTGACCTAGTGCCCTAAGTACTGCTGGCAAGGGGGCCTGTGTCCCTTGCTTCGAGGCGACCAGAAGCAAGTGTCCCCTATCTTCAGAGTCAAACATATGGCATCAGGCATACAGTGATCTGACAGCCAGCAACTCTGCCTCCTGCGGCGGCATCCAGCAGTAGGGGGGCAGGGCCCAGGGAGGGCAAGTCCCCAGCTAGGGAACAGTGATCCGAGCAGGACAGAAGCCAACATGGCTCCCTCCTGTCACCGGAGAGGCCAGGGCGCTGGAGGCCAGAGAGAGAGAGAGAGAGAGAGAGAGCAATCTCTGTGATGGTCAGCCCTCAGTGAGCCCCGGGAAGCACTTATGTCACTGCCACTTTACAGATGTGAATACTGAGGCTTGGCCCAGTGCAATTCCCTGTCTGCGGTCATAGAACAAGAGAGCAACAGTGAGAACTGGAAGCCAGTACCCTTTGGCTCAGGAGCCTAAGCCCCTCTCTGGAAGCCCCTCAAGTGAGGCTGACCTGTGTGATCCCTCCCCAGCCCCCTCTGCAGCCCAGTCCCCTGCCCACCCTGTCATCTCTGGTCCCAAACGGTTGGGAAAATCCTGATGGAAACAGATGGTGGGGACAGATGGAGTGAAAAGCATCTCAGGGCTGAATGACACAAACAAACATTGATAAAGTGATTAAAACCTCAAGCCACCCCTCTCCCGAAGGCCCTGCCCACCCCCCACCCCCGGAGCCCAGTGAGCCTGGAAGTGGGGGCTCCCAGGGGCCTCCACATGCCAGGAGTCTTAGCCGGAGCCATCCCAGCTTCTGCCCTCTTCGCTTTCTGCCAGGGACCACCCCCGGACCAGAGCTCAGGGCACAGCGCTGCCAGGAGCACAGCCCAGAAGGAGGGGGGTGGGGAGGAGGGCTGGCTGTTCCCGAGGGAGCAGGGCCGAGGAACCCATGACTTTGCTGGGGGCAGGGAGGGGTGGCAATGGGGGCTGAGAGTGGCTGGAGTCACAGACCTGCAGGGCTCCTGGCAGGGTAGAGGGGGGAGTGGAATGTGGCTGGCGTCCCTTCCAGGGAAGCCCCCCTTTAGAGGAGGACTCCAGAGGCAGCCCAGCTCACGTAGCATCTTTGCCTTGCCACCTCCTGGCTACGACCCCAAAGTGGGGCTGACCACATGCCCCTGGTGGAGGGGACCGCTGTAGCTGGTTCCTCATCCAGGCACAAAGAGGGTAGTAACAGCACTCCCTCCAAGGGTTTGTGGGAGCACCTGGTTCCTGCTGGTTTGGGGTGCTTGGTTGAGGTCTTGGGTACAGGTCCTGCTGGCAGCTGTAGGAGTAGTGGAGGATGGTCCTCAAGCCCTTGCTCCCCACCCCTACCCCAGCAGAGGCAGCTGAGCCCTGCTGCGGGCAGGCAGGTTCGCCCAGTACCCAGGGGCAGGGGCAGTGTTTCCACCTAGCCAGCTCCTCCAGGTGATGGGTGGGAACCCGAACTGCCCAGGGGGCAGCTCTGGGTTCCTACCCTGCCAAGGCCTTTTCCTGCTTTGAGGAGTGTGAGCAGAACCAAGCTTTCTGCCTTCCGCTTCTCTCTTGGTACACCCTCGTTTCCAGCTGCTTCTAGAACCTGCTCCCCAAAGCCCACAGACAGCTGCAGCTTGAGCCAGCCTGTGTCCAGGTCATGGCTGGCGCTCACAGCTTGCCTGACCCTGGGTCCTCCCCACTCCCCGCCCTTCATCCACCCAACAAGCATGTGGCCCCTCCCCTTCAGGAGGAGGCACTCCATCTTCTTCGCCCCTGGATTTTTTCCCTTCCCAGTGCAGTTCCATGGACCTCCAGGCCCCCAGCACTGACTGATGGCAATTGGGACAGGGCAAGTGTTACGGTCCAGTGGGGTGGCTTCCCAGCCAACCTCTGTCCAGCCCAATAAACTGTCTTCTTGCAGAGCTGGAAAGGCCTCAGGGTTTGGCAGAAAAGGGACAGTCACTTGCCTGAGGCACCAGACAAGCCCTCCCTTTGGCCTTTGTTCCAACCTCAAGTATAGAAACATTTGGATACTCCTCCCTTGCAGGGTTCCAGGGCTAGAAGCTACATTCTCTCCCTGTTCCTGCTCTGTCAGGAATCCATGGAGCTGGATAGGAACTGGAGCAGCCGGGGCTCAAACTGGCATACGTAGGAGATACTGGCACCACAAGTGGGGGCTTAGCCTACTATACCACCATGCTGTTCCTGGGTCATTCCAGACTTAAACCCTAAGGAATGCAAAAGGTTTCAAAAGGGAAGTTTTTCCCAAGCTGCGATCTGCCTCCCAGGAGCTTGGCAGCCGCCCAGCTCCACCTGGAAAGCCGGGAGCTACCCTGGTGACTGTCCTTGCCTGCTCCTCAGTGCCTGTTGAAGAACTTGGACTCCACCTCTGTGTGGAGCAATGGCGTGCGGAGACGCTAAGCGGCTGGACCACCACTAAGACCCAGTGTGTGTGCAGCACCTCCTTGTAGGGCCTCTGTGAGCTGCGGAGTGAGGTGCGCTTTCCAGGGGCCTTCCCTGGACCCCCTGCAGGCTTGGGGGTACACATGGCTGACCCAGGCAGGGACCAGCTCATCATCCCCACCTGCAGCTCTAGGATTCTGCTGGCACCTGCTGGTTTTGCAGGTTAGGACACGGAGGCCCAAGGGGCTGGCTTGCCTGGTCCGAGGCTGTGCCTGGCACCAGCTCTGTCTCTAAGCTCCTTCCAGTGGGTCCAGGTACCTTGAAGAAGGGGTGGGGGAGTTTCCTAGAGGGCCCCAGGAGCAACGGGTCACCAGTTCCCAGGGATCTCCCAGCCAGTGGCTCTTCCTGGAACACCCGCTGCTCCCACTGCTGCCACCTTGGGCTCCCCTGAGGCTGGGGACTGCCTCCTGTTTCCATGGTAACCAAGAACGAAGGGGCCTCCTGAACCAGTGCAGAGATCCTGCATCGGCACCTGCGAGCGCTAGGGCATCCTTGCACATGCACACACACACACACGTGCACATGCAGGCATGCTCATGCCTATACCTGCACACCCTTGCCCCCTCGTGAACACGCATGCACACCTTTGCAATGCGGGGACACGCACCCTCTCAAAGCCCTGGCCTACTCACCCCGAGCAGGACTCCAATGCCGTCCTGCCTGACATGACATTTCCCCTGACCATCCTGCCCCTTGCTGGTCTGGAGGAGGACTAG